AAGCAGAAGTAAAAGAGAGATCTGGGATAAAAAACAAACCCAAAAAGGATTACTTATCTTCTAATCATCCTCAAACATAAACTCTCACCCTTAAAGTACACAAATACACTCCTAAAAGTGTTTTCTTCAGTGTTTACTATGTTTCAGTATGTGCATTTTTGTGAAAGGTCACAAGACTCATTTTGCCTACTATTGCATAGAGCCCAGCTTTCATATTTTCTAAAACAAAACTGACTTTTGACACTTTAGCTAATTTCACCTTTCCAGAAATAGTTCATCTGTTGTAAAATAAGTAATTTCAAAGATATACTTAAATCACGAGATCATCTGCAATTTCACTAATGGACTTATGTTTTACTTGTAGAATTTTAAAAAAATAATTATTACCTACACCACATTAAAAGGGGAAAGTTATTTTTTTAATTAAAAAAAAGAATTGCAAGTCAAGCTTTAATTTAGAATTAGTTCTATTGTAATGATTTCACATAATCTGTAAAATCATAAACATGAGTTAATAAAAAGTCAATAACAGAAAAATTCAGAAGATTAATGAAATTATGCATGTAGACCAAAGAAAAGCTATAACTTGTTTTTAATAAAATTAAGGTCTGAATAGAAACAGGTGATCTTCAGCCTCATATTTTACCAACCAAGTGGGAGTACGGAGTGGAATTTTTAAGCTTAAAATCTTCCACAGTACTGATCAAAATAGACTTGATCCTTGGTGAATTCGGTTTAGCACAATTTGAGACAAAACTGTTGTGCTGCTTTTTGGATTACTTTGCAGTATTGCCGCTTAGTCATATATCGAAATATACATATTTAGAGTCTTGGATTGTCACGTACAAGCATAAAAGATTGTTTAAAATCTAATCTGCCATAAGAGCAGGTAACTTAGAGGTGTTTTGAGTCATAGTAAGGAGCAGCATTCTCTGAGTTTGAAGTACGTAGGAAAAAACGCCTCTTCATCTTAAAAAAAACCCAAAAAACTAGAAAACCACTATTTTGTAACTTTTAAGACACCTTTGGGATTGAGAGCATTACGAAGTTAAAGAAAAAAAAAAGAAATATGAATGGTAGTTACGGAAATAGTTCAATATAGGGAAAAAAAAAAAAAAAAGAAAGAAAGGCAAGCCCTGTTTTAAAAGGACGGCTTCAGATTGCAGAGCGGCGTGGTATAGAGGGACGAACCGCAGCTTCACAGAGACCCTCCCGGGGCAGCCCTTCCCTCCCTCGGCCCCGGCCGCCCAGCTCAGCCCTGCCCGCGCTGGGTCCGGGGCACCGAGCGTGACCTACCGCCCCCTGCCCTCCAGAGCCCCCACGTCCCTCCCCGCAAACCCGAGCCCCCGCCCGCCCCCGGGGCAGCCCTGCCGGACGCCACCCTGCCCAGGCGACCCCCAAGCACCCCGCGCCACCTTCCCGGCTCCCTCCGGCCGCCGCCGCGCTCCTCCGTTACCCCGGCTCTCCTCCGGCCTCCGCTGCAGGGGCGGGGAGGGCCACGCTGCCCCGCAGGCACCACGTTTACAGGCCGCGGAGCCCCTCCCCTGGCCGGGGTCGGCGCATCGCCTCCCGGTGCGCCACGTCCGGCGCCCGCCCGCCCGCCCGCTGCTGCCGCGGGCAGGGGACCGATCCGAGCACACGTAGCCGGGCTCTCCGCGCAGCGCCGGGCGTTGCGGGGCGCGGGGCGGGGGAAAGGAGCGGGCCGGCCCGGCCCTTCCCCGCCCCCGGGCCCGGAAGGAGGAAGCGTCGCGGCGCTGCCTCTGCGGTGGCTGCGGGAGCGGCGTCTCCGCGGGGCCAGGCGGGGACTCGCTGCCGGGGCTCCGCGCTGCCCACCAGGTGAGCGGCGTGGCGGAGAGGGAGGGACAGACCGGGCCAGGCCGGACCGGGAAGGGTTTTGCCTTGGCGAGGTGTGGGACGGCGGCGGCGGGCGGGCAGACTGAGCGCTCCGCTTTCTGTTTCCTTCTCCGGGCGGCTGATAACGGCGGCTCGGGTGTGAGCTAACCCTTTGTTGTGGGTGTTTGTGCCGCGATTTCTTCTGTATTCGCTTCACGTGTGGCTTCGTTATTGCTCTTGTCGATATTATTATTTGTTTGTTTGTTTGTTTGTTTGAGCTGGACGTGTTTCGGCTGGGGAGCTTTCGCGTCCCCTTTACCTCAGCGGTGCGGTGGGATTAAGGTGGGGGGAAGGCTTTTCTGATCGCGTAATTTTCAGTGAAAGTAGGAAATTCTGTCGGTACGGCGGAAGAGGCGCTCCAGCACGGGCTTACCAAAGGCAGATGTTCTACCCAAGCTCCTGAAGGAGGGAGCAATCGGAAAAGGTAAATGCTTCTGCCGGCACCTGCGTAGTTGCTCCATGGAGGAGTTTGAACTTGCTTACGGATTTTTTTGTCGGGAGTGTGATCGGTGAGATCGTTTTGATCACTGGGGATTCTCGGGGGCAGCTGATCGATCCTGGAAAACCTTTGCGTTATAGACAATAGTTTTCACCTTCTATTGTCTTCAGACATGTGGGGGTTTTTATGACATAGAGGAAGAATAAAAGTTTATAGAGTTGTGTGTCAGATATTGATGAAGGTATAGTGCAACCATTGGTAGTGTTGGGCGCTCCATCTTCCATCATGTGTGCCATTCAAATGTGCTTGTATGGCTTCTTGAATTTGGAGACAACAATTAGTTTATCTTGTGTGATGAGACCAGTCCTCTTTCTCATCCTGTTGTCCCAACTGCATGATCCAAGGACTTTAAAAAATTGAGAGATGTAGTGGGTGGGGAGAAAAGCTTCTCATAGAGACATTTAACAAGTGTATATGAAAGTCTTGCAGAGTCTGTGGTTTTTTAGCTCTGCAAGTGTTCATAAACAAAAATTCACAGAAATGGGGAACAGGACTCAGACTTTTTATTTTCAGAATTAGCAGTAGGTATCAGGTACTGTACATAGTTTCCACTAATGCAGCTGTTTCGCTACTCTTTCTGACTTTAAAACCAAAATTCCTAAGGTATTTTAAAACTTCTTTCCTTATACTTGTAATTTATGTTCCCGTTCTTACTTGACTTCTTCCCCCCTCCCTTTTTCACATGGAAGAAACATGGATGTCAAGAGTAGAAATTATTTACTTATGAATCGCCAAGCACTGGAAAAAGACATCAAGACTTCCTATATTATGGATCATATGATTTCTGATGAAGTGCTAACATTACAAGAGGAAGAGAGAGTGAAACAGCAGGTAGAGTCATCTTTCACTGTTCTTTATCTTCCTTGTATACTCACGTGCTTTGCTATCCTTTTTAAAAATAGTAATTTCTGTCTATCTAATTCCTGGATTCATCAAATGAATCCAGCACACAGTTTTTATTGCGGGCTTCATAAGGTTGAGTTAAGGGCTTGGTCAAGTTAAAGGCTATTTCTCTAACTATAAATAATCTATAATTGATGGACTGATAGATTAAATTATTTCTAAGATCTCTTAGTTTTTCATAATACATCTTTTAATGTTTGACTTTTTTTCTAGAACACACAGAAGGAGCGAGCAGCCATGCTAATAAATATTATTCTTACAAAAGATAATAATTCATATAGATCCTTTTATAATGCACTGCTTCACGAAGGGTACAGAGATCTTGCTGCGCTTCTTCAGGATGGCATCCCTGCTGTCTCGTCTGGTAACAGAAAGAGTTCAATGGATGGAATGACTTCATATGGTCAGTGTAACTGCAGCAATCCCTGTGCTTGAATGTAAAGACAAGTTGCCTTTTTAATTGCTTAGAAATTGACTGTAATACCTATTCCAATGAAAAGGGGGCAGTTGGTACATTCACTTGTTTTGATGTGTAGTACTCAGTATGTCTGTATTTCATGTATTTAATATGGCAGGAGAGTTACAACGCTTGCAGCTTTTGTAGGTCATCTTGAAAGTGTTCACATTAAGTAACATTTATTTTAAAAGACAGGAAACCCGAAGCTCATGTGGTTTTCTCTAATTTGTAACATTTTTGTTGTGAGAGACTCTCATTTGTATATATTAAAGAAGTTGAGTCTAACATAAAAAATTGTAGCCTCCACAATTCTGATATTCATCTTGAAAAGTAATCTGTAATCTCTCAACCTGCATTCCAACAGTTGATCTAATTATTAGGTTAGTTAATTCTTTCCACTAGATCTTTTAGTTACCCTACCTAAGTTCGTAACTTTTGCATGCCTTGTCATTGGTATCATCTTTGATTGACATGAAATAAATTTGTAGTTTTTAATGGCAAGAACCTTCTAACTACCATATTTTACTGGCACTCTACACTTAGTAAGTGTCAAAGGCATGTGGAGTTTTGGGAAATCTTACTCAGATAATAAAAGTTTATCAGTGTAACATGCCACTCCGTATGGCTACAAAGTGGACAGATAAAGTGTACATTTTCTTTCCTGCTATAGCTTAAATCAATGGAGGTCTTGCTTGGATCACAGTGCTGTGCTGTGAACTGCCAAGTAAAAGCCTTACGCGTCCTTTTTTTCTGCTGGACCCATGGGGTGGTAACTTCTGGCTGAGAAAGTGACTTGGTTTTTGGATATAGTAATGTTGAGCTCCTGTGTTGGCCACAGTTTCCACTGGAGCTGTTAATTATCTTTTAACTTCTAGGGATTGATGTAACTAGCTTGCCTCATGCCTCCATTATTTATTAGAATACTGTTGTAGGTGGGGGGCTAGTTATCTGTTAAATAATTTATTTCTAAAAAGTAATAGTTTGTCAGTATTTGGTGTTGTGAGCCCAGCAGTTTTTAGAGCATTTTTATGGGACATGAGATGGGGAGGGAGCCGACTAGTTATTGTGGATGAGGAGTTGTTTAGTTGGGTTTGAAGAGGCATCACTTTAGAATTCACTTTTTATTTTCATGTTTCTTGTTTCTAACTTTAGTGAAGACAGTTCTCTGCGAAGGAGGTGTACCACAGAGACCAGTTGTGTTTGTCACTCGGCCGAAACTGGTAGATGCTATTAAAAAGAAGCTGTCCTGCTTGGGAAGTGATCCAGGCTGGGTCACAGTTTATGGAATGGCAGGCTGTGGGAAGACTGTTTTAACAGCAGAAGCTTTAAGGGATCATCAGCTCTTGGAAGGTACTTCTAGCAAAACATCCATATTTTAATATAAATTACTGCAGGTATACACGTTTTGGACATATATGGTGCAATATCATATGTCATCTTGAAAGTGATTCAGGTTTCTAAATTCCTTAATTGCTTCTGGAATATTTGCTTGCAACATACAAGGTTCATAACTGTTTAGTGCTCTGGGACCACTAAGTATTTTACTAGTTTATGGAAAAAGGTTTTGAATAGCTTTTCACCTTAGAATCTGCTTAGGTTTATGACAATAGCTGCATCCTTAATTAACTTGAAGTTGTTATTTCTGGTAATGAAAAATATCTAGTTATATTCCTTTTGGGCATTGCTGATAAAGTCTTTAGACTCTTCTCCTTGCTGTGGGAGTTTAAAAAAATCTTGTTCTAACTTTTGCATAGATTTTAACAATGGCAGGCATTTATGGAACACTTACAGTAGTATCACCTTAGCTTAAAGTGAATCATAAATGAAACTATTTAATGGTATTTTTCTTATTTTATTTATTTTTCCCTACATAGAACACTAGGAGGAGAAAACAGGACTTGGGCATTAAAAAAACATGATATAGGGATAGATACCACAGCATATGCTGCTATAGCTGATTCTTCTGGATGTCTTCTTGATGACTGTTTTGGGACCATTTTTACATCCCAAACTCTGAACTTCTGTGGTAATACAGGGTTAAAAATGTAAATACTAAGTTAGACTTGCAGAAAGATGGACACAGAAGGGGTCATCAAGGGACAGGCAGGAAGACGTACAAAGGAGGGACAATAGCATCAGTGGTGGTGTGAAATTCCTGTGGGAATTTGCCCTACAGAGCCTTTCAAAATAGATATAGTGATCTTGTAGAATCATTCTTTGGCGTTAATAGCAGAGTTGCAAGGATGGCTTGCAATAGACTTTAGAGGTTTATATTTTAATTAATGTTGAGTTCTTGATTGCTATTTTAAGTTGCTATTAAATATTTCTGATGTTAAATGTATAACATGATTAATATTGCTTTTCTTGTTAGATTACTTTCCAGGAGGAGTTCACTGGATCTCTGTTGGAAAGCAAGACAAAGCAGGCCTCCTAATAAAACTTCAGAATCTCTGTAGTAGGTTAGAACATGACTCGACTCTTTCACAGAGGTCACCACTTAACATTGAGGAGGCTAAAGATCGTCTTCGTTTGCTGATGTTACGCAAATATCCCAGGTGATGTCAGTAAAATCAAACACTATTCTTTTAAAACATTGCAGAGTAACTTCAATCTAATAATCTAAGGTGTCTGTGTTGTTACATGTCTCCGTGATGTGTTGTTTTTTTTTTAACCAACTTCCTAACTTAAACTAATAAGGCTTCTGCTAAAAAAATATGTTAACCAACTGTGCAGGAGTCATATTTTCTTGAAAAATATTAGTTGTTGAATAATGAAAGCTGGGAACAAACCATTGGAAATAAGAATCGCTCTAACTTTCATTGCGCTCATTGTGTGCGTATAGTGCTTTACTGGTATATGAGGATCATACAGCAGAAAAAAAGGGTGTGTATCGCTGCAGAAATTTTTTCCTTTCCAGAACAGCTGATGTTTGTC